AAGGTGACTTTATTCAAACTGAAACCTTGTACAAGGGTTTTAAATACTGGTATCCAACTTTAATCTATTTTGTACTTACTATTCAAGATGTCTTCAAGGTGACTTTATTCAAACTGAAACCTTGTACAAGGGTTTTAAATACTGGTATCCAACTTTAATCTATTTTGTACTTACTATTCAAGATGTTTCAAGGTGACTTTATTCAAACTGAAACCTTGTACAAGGGTTTTAAATACTGGTATCCAACTTTAATCTATTTTGTACTTACTATTCAAGATGTTTCTTACGATGCTAAAAATTCATAGTACCACAAAAACTTAACTTTTGGAAAACAACACAAAGTCATAACCATGCTGATCAGCAATGAATACTGAATCCATATTTTACTTGTATATTCTTACCAAACAATGGTAACAAGCATGGCAAAATTTATCATTAACACTATAACAATGACACATTGTTTATCATAACTTGATACTCTTTGTTTGAGTTTAACTAGCTTCAATCCTAAAATAAGCAAATATTTAGATATAAAGTTAAAAATTCGGAAACTTACAATAAAAATAGAAGAAAGAACTCAAATTTGTTTAAAATCTATTATCTTATATTTTTCAATGTTTCAAACTAAATTGTTAAGTGATGTTCGGGTTAGTGAAAATAATAAAATACTTATGAAACAACTTCAAAACAATTTTTTTTTTATACGAGATGGTCCAAAAGTGTATTTCCTATTTTAAAATTTGATGTATGTTTGTTTGTAGATAAGCACAAAGCTACACAAAGGGCTATCTGTGCTCTGCCCACCATAGGTTTAGAAACCCACTTTATAGAGTTGTAAGTCTGCAGACATATTGCTATGCCTCTCGGGGGCTTAAAATTTAATCATTATATAACTAAGGACATACAATCATGTAGTTTTCAACAACTTATAGCCCAACTCAAACAGTCTTCTATGTGTACACCATTAGTGGCTCTCAACAAGTTTAACCAGCATTTGATTTCAGCCAATGTTCACTTTAACATGTCTATAGTTACAGTGGGGATGGTATTTATTATCTTGGTCTTTAGCTCCATAATGTTTGCTATAGGTGAGCAATACACTATGTCCTTAACATACCCCCAAAGAATGAAGTTAAGTAGAGTGATGTCTGGTGAATGCAGAGACCGTGGAATTGGCTTACCCTGACTAATCTATTACATTGAGTCTTTTCTTGCATGGTTGCTATTTCACAGGATAACATAACTCATTGGAGTGAAAAAAAACAACAACATGACAATAGAAAACTGTTTACTTGCCTACAAGATGTTGAAAACTGCATGGTTGTATTTATTTGGTTATTTATGATATTTTAAAAAATGAAAGACAATTTTGGACCACCCTGTACTTACAAAGTAAAAAAAAACAGAAAAAAAGAGAGAGTTCATTAAATAAATGTCCAATCTTATTACCGGTGTTTAAACTCAGAGTAGGCATAAGCCAGCAGGTCAGCTAGACCCCCACTACCCCTGATGACAACAACTGGAAACTGTTTCTTTAGATGATCGAGAATGAATCTAACAGAGTCATACCCTCCCTGTATCAATATGGCAACCACGGGGACTTCACTTGAACCAAAAGTACCTTTGTTGTATGTTGTTGAAACTATAAAACAAATACGAATCACTTAGTCTCAATCTTTCTCTATCAACAAACCATCTTTAGTTGTTTTTTTTAAATATGATTTCAAATATTAAAAGAAAATGATTTGGATTATCTAATTTAAAACCAAACACCAAGATAAATTTGTTAAGAATTCTTATACATACACCAAAAGGTTTAATGTTCAATTCACGTAAATTGTGTGTACTTATGTTTATAGTATAACGTGGGTGTGTGTGTGTGTTCGTGTATATATATATATAGACACTGAAGTAACGCTTTCCATGGGTCATGTTCCAAGTCCACTGTTGCCCTTGAATCTACTTGCTCCACTGTTGATATAGTTCAGTTTGATGAGCAAAGATTTCACTTCTATTGCTCAACACTGCAATTTTGATTGTAACAAGCTTCTGTGAAGGATGGCAAGGTGCATTTGAAATCAATCTTGACAAACTTCAACTTTAAAATCTTTCCTTATTACACATATTGCTGTTTTATTGCAACAACCTTTCGGGTCACAAGATTTTCTTTTGCTGCCCCCTATTGATTTGGAATATGGTTTCAAAGCCCACTGTTGTTGTCCACATTTGTTTGGAACATGGTTTCAAAGCCCACTGTTGTTGTCCACATTTGTTTGGAACATGGTTTCAAAGCTCACTGTTGTTGTCCAAGATGGTTTGGAATGTGGTTTCAAAGCCCACTGTTGTTGTCCACATTGGTTTGGAATGTGGTTTCAAAGCCCACTGTTGTTGTCCACATTGTTTTTAAATAGGGTTTAAAAGTTTACTGTTGTCCACAATGGTTGGGGATGTGATTTCAAAGCTCACTGTTGTTGTACACATTGGTTTGGAATGTGGTTTCAAAGACCACTGTTGTTATTCTTAGTACCTTAGTGTTCAAATTTTTCAGATCTGTGGAGAACACTACAGGCTCCCTTCTGTTAGATGTTTTTCTTTCTTTATCATCAAACAATCTTGTTAATTAAATATCCTTCCTTAATAAACCAAACTGTAGCAAAATTGTTATGGAATATGCTTTGAACCATACACAGGTAACAGGTCATCCCTCGTGCCAAACTTGCATATCTGGTAACATGCTACTGAATTAGCAGATACAAATCATTCCTAAAAAGCACTATTGACCATCCACATAATAACTAATAATAAATACAAATTGTTGACTTAATTTAAATCCAGTGTCAAATGGATTAGCTTCATCACATGCAAGTCATCACTATGAAAAAATTTAATTTTTTATTTTCCATGCGACTTCTAGTGCTAGATTAAACGTATGTGTGATATTTCCAAGATCTAAATATTAGAATTTTATTTGTCTAAATACAAACTAACATTTCTGTATTTGTTTTGTTTCTTTAAATGCAACATTACTTCCAGTACTATTAATTCTAAAAAAAAACCTGCAAGCAAAAGAATATATGACACAAGTCTAACACACTACATCTGCTGTATTCAGTGCCAATGAGGCCTTTCAAATTATACCAGGTTTCGTCAGGGATGGCTAGGATACGATAGACGACGTAGTGAATCAAGGTGCTTTACATATATCACCAGTTTCAGGAACGACAAATTTTATGGTACAAACCAGATAAATCAAGCGAGTTGTAATTATTATCACTTTTAATTTATTTACTAATTAGCTTTTATAGTAAGAATTAATAACACAAAATGATATAATAATTATGACATTCTTTGTCAAATATTAATTTATCACATTTATTACTTGGTGTATGAATGTTATCATTTAAAGTTTTTGACACTATCATTTTAGCACGAGGGACAGTTTCAAGCTCATTAGAATGCACATCATAAAGTTTAAACAATTAAGCCCACGTTTGATTAAACGGAAGGTTCCATGTCACCTTGTTTTTGTTCATCAGTTTGCTGAGTTTCCAAAGCAGCTGCCAAATACTGTTCAAATCGAAGTAGAAAATAGTTGATTCCTGTTTTAGCGATAGTGCCATCATTTACCACAACAAAGTGAGAGTGATACGTGTTGAGTTCGTACTTTTCGTCTTCAGGAATATTTCCCTCATTTTCTATCATCACTAAATTTGTCTGAAAAAAAAACCAATATATAAATACCTTAAACTACACACTTTTAGTTATAACTCTGCAGTTTTTACACAGAAAAAAAAAGGAATAAAATACTGTAGGTGATCATGACAAATTTTGTTTAAGAGCATCTAGCAATAAATGGTTTTCCGAATATATAAAAATAAAGAGAGTTGTAGAACTTCATACATTGTAAGAATTACCATAAGCTCTTGTGTACTTTTCCACACATAGTGGCCTTGTACCCCACTGATGAAACATTCCATCAATATTTAACCCCTAGTGGACATATTTTTGGAAGTTCTAAAAGTGCTCTTGTAACTGGGAAAAGGTCAGATGAAGACAATAAGCATAACTTTTGATTCATTACTATTACCGTGTGGTAAATAATGGATATACCAATACATTTGGAACAGTATAATGTAGTTAAATCATAACTCTACCAATGCTACTTCTCCCACAGAACTCCGCCTACAACCCCTTTACAAAAAAATATTGAAATTTTAAAATATATGTTATAAAATACCAAATGTATGTGCAGTTCAATACCTACATTTGGTAAAAGTAAACTCATTAAAACTCGTTAGAAACAAGCCACCATAAATAAGATCTAATCAAAAATAATAATAATTACCTATAGTTCATTAAAATCCATCTAACTCAGAACACTGTTTTTTGTCTACCTCTATGATAGCATACCTACATGTAAAACATCTAGTATATTTAAATTTTATCTACAATATCCTTAGATTAAAACAAATGATAGTAAGAGAATGCACATTCCATTAACTTATACCTTACACAAGCATTGACACAATACACGATATTTTGTTTTATGTGATAATTTTATTACAGGATAGTGATTTATCAAGATATCACAATTTTACTTACAATCTCAAAAATAAAAATAATGCAACATTTAAAGGACAATAAAATGATGATGTAGTTCTATGCAAATTAATATTTACAAGTCTACAGAGAAAATATGCCGAGTTCTGGTACTACAGAGAAAATATGCCGAGTTCTGGTACTACATAGAAAAAAATATTTTATATCAAAATTTGTTTTAATATTGAAGGTTATTGAACATAAAGTGAAGCAGAAATATCAAGAGATGGTTTTGGACATTTTTTGTATGAATTTAACCAAGTAACCAAGCAACCTATGCTGTCAGTTTTAAGTCGGTTGAAAAATTTGTGTAGTTTGTTTTCTTAAATATCACCATTGTCTTTTGCTTCAATTTCTGTACAGTTTTTCTTTCAGTTTCAAAATTGTTTTTATTTACTGTTCACATACATATATTTTCAATTTTTTCCACTTCTGTCATCTAAAAATCGTGCTTCAGTTTTGTTTATCAATATATGTTTAGATAGAAGCATAAAATATAGTAAATAAAATTAGTGTCAGTACAACATAGGATTTTTCATCTTGAACATTTTGTTATAGCTAAATATGGCACCTTATTTAGTACTTTTTATGTTTTTTTACATTATTTGTTCTTTTTTCAGTTTCGTCATGTTCCTCTTTTGATTTTTGAACAAATTCTACATTTCAATTAATTTTTTTTTTTCTTTACTTGGGTTATATTTGACTAATGTTACTCAACTGTTTTAGTAGAAAGAGATTTGGCCTTAAAGAATTTTCTCAATATATATATATATATATATATATATATATATT